GGCGGCAGGTGGCGCGGCGCGACGGCTGCCGCGGCGCGGGGCATGTTTACTGACCTTCTGTCGAAGATGTGTCGCAAGCACGGCGCGATGGTGGGGTGAGTGCCGCGGCGTGAGGGGAAAGTGTGCCGCGGCGCGGCAAGGCGCGCGGCGCGACGTGAAGGAAACCTGGGCGCCTCTGTCGGCCTCGTGGAAGCAGCACGGCGCGGAGCTGGCGTGGTGCTGGGCCTGGACGAGCTTGTGACTACTTCCTCGACTTTGCTTTTCGGGTTCGTGCGGGTTCGATTGGAAACGGAATTTAACTCTGTTTTCTCCAGTGCGATGCCAACGGAAAGTTCTATATAATTACGCTTGCACGGTCAAACTTCCTCTTGAAATCCGGTTTCCCCGAGACTTTCGACCTACACACAATAAACAAAGAAAAACCGGAAAAAATATGCGGAAAACACAAAGAAAACCGAAACGAAGAAAAACACACAATAAATGACAAAATGGACTAAAACCAACTAAATGACTCAAAATGGGGGAAAAAGAATGAGAAAATAATGAAAAATGCAACAAAAATGGGACAAACAACTCCCCCACACTTAAACCTTTGTTTGTCCCGAACAATAAGAAAAGAAAACAAGACACGAGCATGAATATGGTTTCAAATAAGAAGGGTCTCAAAATGCCCAATTCAATTGAGTCGAATTCCAACGACCGCACGACCATATGCCTCAAATATCAACTTGACCCCGAAATGACAAACTCTCAACACATAGATCATCATATATGCCTCACTCATTTTCTTACATAAATATATGATAGATACGCTCAAAAATTGGTCAATATTCAAGTTTCAACATATGCTTGCCAATCGTTTAAATTACTTGAAAACAATCAAAGTACAAAATATGCGAATCAAGAGGACTTCACGAGTTGTAATGCGGGTTTAAGGAAAGATATATATGCAGAAAAGAAGCTCAAATAAACAACAAAATTTTCGAGCAAATAAATTACTCGAGTTCTCCGCTACCAAACTGGAATGAACAATATAGCACATCACCATCCACCGAACAACTCCACAAACAACACCTCGCTGCTCTAATCGAATTGCAACATCACTTGACCTAATTTTTCTTCTTTTTTTTTTAATATATATATCTTTCTTATTCGGAGAGTAACTTTTTCCGAACAAGATCGAATCAAAAGGACA